CCCCCCCCCCCCCACCCCCCCCCCCCCCCCCTTCACTTTGGGAAATTTCTCATTTTACTTTTTAATGACATTTCGTCCGAGTCTCTTTGTCTGGTGCCCTGGCTGCCGCTTCAGGCTTTTGTCTGAACTCTTCCCTCCATTGGATCAAAGGAGCCAGCTTCCTCCTCCATTCGGTGGCAGTTGTATTTCCTTCCACTTTGTTTGCCTGTTGAGGCTACTGTTCTCTTCCCAGAGATGAATTGTCCCTCTCAGCTTGGGAGTCTCTTGCGCCAGCCAAGCTCTATCAATAATTCAGTCAGGCCCTGCTTATATTAGCGCAGTGGATGAATAAAGACACTCCTGCCATTTAAGTGACTGAATAGGTACCGGCGACAGATTATTCATAATTTAACTTTTTGGGGAAAAAAATTAAATAAAACTTTGTGAAAGTTACTGGAACCAGAAGTTTAATGAGCAAAGGCCAGGGCTGGGAGTCAGAAGCGGGGCAACAGGCTAGGCAACGGTTGGCATTTTTGGGTGCTGAGAGCCCTGTCTTTGAGCTGGCCCAATATTATCCTGTGCTTCCCTGTCTGTGTCCACCTCGTCTTGTATTTAAATCATCACCTATTGGGGATGGGGCCTGGTGGATACCTGCAACATGCTTAGATGCAGCAGCAATACAAATCACCATGGGCAATGGTGCTGGACATGTCTGGGACGTCCTTAACCAGCCTAGCTTTGGCCACGTCCTTGGAGCCAACTGGACATGATTTTCAAAAGTGACCAAAGATTGTGGGCCTCCTCCTACAGGCATCTGAAAGCAGCTCGTTTTTCCCCAAGGGTGGTGAAAATCGGGCCCTTTTCTTTGGATTCTCACATTGGTCACCCAGATAGGGAAGCCTCTGCGCTCACTTGTCACGTTCGAAAGCCTCGCTCTTTACTGCCAGGATCCTGATCCGTCAAGCAGGGATAATGGCGCCAGCCTCATGCATCAGTGGAAGAGATAATTTACCTTTCGAGCCCTCCTGTGCAGGTGACTAACTGAATCTCCATCCAAGTCTATTTTGGAGCCTGAAATAGTGCAGAAACCTCCTGGCTGCTCTTTCCACAGGGGTGACTTTCACTTGATCAGCCACAAAGTGCTTGGAGCTGCTCTGATGGAACTAGCTACAGATGTGCGAACTACCTCTGGCTGCACTGTTGTTAATGAGCGCCTGATTCAGGCACTGATCTGTATCTCCACCTACTGCAGGGCACCGAAGCGTTTGAAACTGCCTATAAAGAACAGCGGTTGGGCAATTACTGCTCAGTTAGACATGCGATTCTGTGGATAGATCACACGTGGTTTGGACTGCAGATGGCCTTAACCGGCCAAGAAATTGGCCTGCTCAGCTGAAAGTGGGACTTTGCCAGGAGCCAAGGAGGAAGGCAAAAAGCACTGGCTGCATGGAGAAGCCTGGTGACAACACGGAGGAACATGGAGCCCTTCTCTTCCAGAGCATCCCTGTGCTGGGCACTGTGGGGCTGTGGCCTCAAAGCCAGGCCTGACTGAAGGCCTCTCTGGGCTGAGATGCTGGCCCCGGTGCTCTCACTGGATTAGAGAAAAAGCCATTAAATTGGTCCCGATTCAGTACACTCAGTCGAGGGGCCAGGCAAGGAATGAATCGCGGGGATGGGACGGTTCTCTCCCCGTACAGGTGGCACCTTGAGGTCAGGGGTGACATAGTAGCAGGATGGCATGTGCTGCTCCTGCCCATCCTGTGCCAAACGTGTGGGCAGAGACTCGGTTTTCGGAATAGCTGTTCCAGCACCGATGGGAAAGAGCCTGACGCTTGCTCAGAACTTGCACCTTGGAGCCCAGAGCAGAGTGAGGAGGCAAAGCATCAAGCTGAGCTGCAGCAAAGCTCTCCGAGTGTCGTGATTCCCCAAGGGCCATCAGGGCCTGGCTTGGAAATCAGCCCTGAACACATCCTCTTCTTTGCCTGACCCCACAACACCTGTTCTATGGGGCTGGCTGTCCACTCGGACAGTACCTACAGACACAGGAGCAGAGCCCTATTGCCCCTGGCTTAGGTGGGACAAACCCACCTGGACACACAAACTGCATCCAATCCTTTCCAGCAACAACTCCCAAAGCAGGAGGGGCTGCAATGCAAGGACCTCATTCCTTCTTTCCCGCTCACCGTCACTGTGCTCTAGTACCTGCAACTAATGCTTTGCCCCATCTCAAGTGCTCAGCACAAAGGGCTTATCCCACCCTGCTGCCCCAGCCCCATGGACACACAGCAGGGCACAAACCATCCCCTCCCTCAGAAGGGCTGGTGGGGGGCGGGTGGGCAGTGGTGAGGGTGCTTACTTCTTCCTATTTCTTTTAAACCCACTTTAACAGGAAAAGTGAACTGCCTGAAACGGGTCTTCTTGTGCTTTCCTTTGCTCCCATCTATGCCACCAGCCCCCATTCAGCCAGCCCCACGTCACATGCCTGTCCAAAGACAAGTGCTTCATCCTTATTAATAGGTAGCCACTAAAAAAGCCAAAGGCTTTCTAGCCATATCTCTTAACATTTCATTCCAGTGGGAGTGTCAAGTGTTTCAGTCTGATTTAGGTCCGTCGCAGTGAAATACTCCACTGAAGATTTTCTGCTGGACATTATTGAAACCAGAGCAGCCAAATCTCTCATAAAGAAAATGGAAACATTTTTCTTTATCTCAGTAAGGTCACACTTTCAGCCCAGCCTCCTCTTCCTGCTTAAGGCTTACCCTAAAATGCAGACATGTAACCTCCTAGGCACGAGATGTTCTTTAGCGTACAATGCAAAGTCACCGATGCACTAAGCTGTGGGCTGGCAGATCTCCTTGCGATTTTACTTCATAAGTGTATGAGCAGAACTGTATGGAGTAGGTGCCAGTATTAGCCAGAAGGTCCCTAATCTCTAGCCAGATGCTGACACTTGTACCCTTCACAGGGAACCAGCAGCTGCAATTCCAGTCAGCTACTGCTGCAGGTGGCATGGAGCTGGGATCAGATCCTCAAGCTACTGCAAGCTTCTGGGCGTTGAGCCAGAGGGCAGGCTACAGGGCATCCATCCCCTCAGAGAGGGCCAGGACAGAAGAGACAGCAAGCAGGGCAGGAAAACTGCATCTGCAGGACAACTCCAGGGAGAGAACCTGCTCCCTCATCCCAGCTTGTGCGAGGGGTAAAAGGAGTGATCGCAGCTAGTTAAATTAGCTCGTCTCTGCTCCATGGGAAGGCCTGACCCAATTGAAGCCAGGAAGCTTCCTCTGTGCTTGCCACAGCTCTTGCTCCTGCTCTCTTGCACTGCTTTGCAACTCCTCCAGGCCATGGAAAAGTTGCACTGATGGGAACCCAAGGGAAGGGGAGGCTGCAAGGGCCAGGCATAGAGGGCGAAAAAGGGAGGCCAGCAGACTGCTACTGGCTGCCTTCACGGCAGCCAAGGTCGTGCCGTAGACCTAGCAAGAGCCAAACGCCACTCCACAGAGCTCCTCCGCTACCGTAACCAGAATCCAGCAAACTCTCCCTTGGCAGCACAGACCCCGTGTCCGGTTCTTTAGATGCCACCTGGTGGCCATTCAAGGCCTGCACCCGCTGAAGGGACTCGGCCTGACAAGCAGCTTGCAGCAGGGGCAGCCAAGAGCACTTGCATAGCAGAAAATAAAACGCGGTGCTCTTGCTGATAGGGAATTAGCGATACACACTTGTAGAGGATGTACCGCTGCCTCACCTGGAGATGTACACCTGCAAGTAGAGAGGAGCAGGGTAACTGGCCCGGGGAAAGCAGGCTACCGGAGCTGGAACTAGTATGAAGTCGGCTTGTGACAAAATGTGCAGCTACAACTTTTTACAGAGAATTGTCAATGAGGCTTATCCTTCCCAGAGGCCAGAGGGTGGGGAGAAGCCAGTTCATCTGGACAGGCTCAGTCGGACACACACACCACCAAAGAAACACACAGACCCACGAGACTGTCACCTTATCAACCAGAGCCAACCGTTTAATTGACTGCAAGGGAGCAACAACCACATAGTGACAGTACTGGGGGAGGATCCCGACTGTGCAGCGGTGGCACAGAGCTCAGAACGGGGAGCCAGGAGGTGGAACCGAGCCCATATGACCCCAAAGGACACACCATGCAGCCGAGGAGCTTGGGTAAGAACTCCCTTGTCCCAATACATCTCCCCAAAGACCAACAACTCCCCGGGCCCAAGTCTTCCAACCATGGCTAAGAGACAGCGGCCGTTGCGAGAGGCTGGCTCCTGTCTTCAATCATGGCTGCTGTGCACGAGGCAATGGATCTAAGGTGTATAATTTATATATTATATCAAAGCGCCTTTTGCCAGATGGAGGAACATTCTTTGGAATTGGTCCGATGGCAGGGGTAAGAGCAGGCATCTCCCTTGTTAGTACCTCGGCACTTCATTGTTGACCAATTAAAAAAACAAAAAACAAAAAAATCACTAAACTTCGCTACCAGCCAGTGGGCTGGTATTTAATACTGCTACTCCACTGGGATTGGAGGGATACCTATTGTGAGTGGCAACAGACTGGACGAGGCGCAACTCTGCCAAGTAAACCACGGAGTGGGCACCAGAAGTCCCAGGAGAAGGAAGTGTAGCAACAGTTTGGGCCTGCTACCAGTAACAATATCCCAGAAGCAGAGCTCTCTGAAAAGAGAGCAGGCTGCCTCCTTGCACAAACCCCTTTCCCTGTGCTTAAGGCCGTTAGTGAACCTTCTGGCCCGTTCCCAAGTGGCAGAAGATTGCTAGACAGAAATACATGTCAGTTATAAATACACCGTGTGAGCTGGGGGCAGGGCGGGGGAAGGGAAGAGAGCAGGAACAGAGGGAGGAGACATCTTACATTCCCAGTACTGGAAAGAACAGTTTTGACCCCAAGCAACAAGCTGCTGGAGCACTGAGAGTCTCATCTGGCTCATGCCCTGCCATCTTGAACGCGTCGTCAAAAGGAATGTTGGCTGGCGAAGGGTGAAATCCCAGGGCTCGGGGAAGAGTCTGTAGCCTGCTGGGACAGTCCTTGTGCGGCACCGCTGAAGATCCTGGGGTCCAGCTCGAGGGAGGAAGCAGCATCCCAGCCTCACACGTTGCTCAGCTCCTGCAGGCAGCCCGGAGGCAACAAGTCGGTTTGGGGCCCAGAGAAACAGCAAGAGGCTTTGCTCTCTACTAGGACTGGGCTGGGTGGCCGGACACAGTTACAGCATCAGCAGGCATGCAGCGGTGCCCCTGGTTCCTGGGATGCACTGAGGGCGTCTCCTTCTGGGGAGCGGCACCTTCAGGACTGGCAGCACACTTGGAGCACCGATAGTTCAAAACATAGGCGAGCCCTTGGGCAGCGCGGGCGGATGTTCATCTCAGAGCATCACCACTCCCATGCTCATGCCCTCGGCTCGCGCCAGCATCTGCTGCCCAGCCAACCCCTTGTGCGGGGTCTCTAGCGAAGAGCTGGTCTGTCCTAGAGACTTGGGGGATCAAAAGCACATTCCTGCTCAGGCAGACTACAAGGCTGAGGCTCTAATGTGATGCACTAAGGAGCAGCATATTTATTCAATGCACTGCTAAGGCAGTGGAGTCCACGAGTCCCCCTCTGTCCCCACAGGTCAGGGCCACCAGCTTCATGGGTAGCTCCAGCCTCACTCCCCAAGCAGTTCGGTGTGCTTTGTGCTGCATGGACAGGGTACAGGTTCCCCCCGCAAACCCCAAGAACCCCAAGCCTGACTCAGGCAGGCTCCCCCAAGGACTGAGAGGGGACAGACATCCTGATCACCTGCTCTCCCAGCACAAGTTCCACGTGCTTTGGAGCACAGGGAGGTTCCCAAATGGGCTCTGAGCATTCCCTACCCAGCAGGGACCCTGGCATTCCCACGGAGAGCTGCACAACGTAGATGCCAAAGGCATCCCTGCAGGGGGAATCCTTAGGCCTCAACAGCAGCCACGCACCATGCCGGGGGCACGTCCTGCCCCTCTAGCCCAGCTGTGCTTACCTTCCGTGCAAACTCAGGCAGGATGAAGGCAGCCCGGTGGATGTCTGAGTTGTAGTACTTGAGGTTCATCTCTTCCACTTGCTGCTGCGAGAGCTGCTGCACAGGATCCCGGAAGTTTGTGTTCTGCAAAGAACAAGCCAGCTTGCACCCTGGAGTTCGTGCTGCAGTTGCTGGGAGCAGACAGTGACAGCACAGTGCAGTTTCTATTTGTGCCCCTCTTCATCATGAGACCGCAGGCCCGGCACAGCCACAGCCCTGAACAGTCTGGGGCTTGTGAAGCCGCATTCACGTGACTCCCTCTTCATCACAGAGCCCACGTGGGGAACCTGCATGACCAGGGACCACCCACATGAGCTGGCATCAACTGGAGCTTTTGTGACATGACTGCGCCCGAGACTCAAGCTCCTGACTCCTTAGGGCAGGATCCACCTCTGTGATCTCCCCAGCATGTTGCTAGCACCTCAAACAAGCTGACCATAGCAGAAAGATGCGGCTGGCATCCTGAACCAACCAAAGGGCCCAGCCAGCCTGGCTGTAGTTTTGCAGGGCAGAGGGAATCATGGTGGATTAAGGCCTGGTAATAGATAAATATCTTTTCCCTTCCAGGTCAGCAGTTCAAATCCAACCCAGCTGTCCCCAGTCACTGCATGTAAACATGCCTCCAAAGCATTTGGTCTCCTGGCACACAAGGGTCTTCATTGCAACATCCAGCAATCAAGGGCAGGGCCTGAATGAGCTGTGGAGACTGGCCTCTCCCTTCACTGCTTGGGGTGGCCTTCCTGGGTCTGGCCTGAGCCTCTAAAAGAAGCCTGCGTAATACCAGACACTCAACATTTTCCTGCCGTCCCAATGCTGGCACGTGCCAGAGTGTGCAGTCATGCTGCTGTCAGTGCTGGCCCAGGGCCAAGAGCACTGGATCACAGCTGCTGGGCCCTGGACTTGTAGTGGCCAGCACAGGACAAACCCCATGGTTGAGCATCACCTGGGTGACATGAGCAGGTGGCAGGGGGAATTCAGATACTCACTGGATTCTTACTGCACAGCATGAAGCCAATCTGCCCGCTGGGGTAGGTAGGGATTGTGCAATAGGCGTACTCCACCACAGGGAACAGAGACTTGCAGAACTGACGCATCTCCTTAATGAGATCCAGATGCAGCCACTGGCACTCGCCTACACAGGGAGAGAAGGACCTTAGAGCAGCCCATTGCCACCTCCAGCTTTGAGCTGAGGTATCAAGGTGATATCTGGGCTCTATGCTTTGCAGAGCACTGCAATTTTCATCAGCAGACCCAGGCTGTTGGGGGTCCAAAGGCAGGTGCTGGGGAAGGGCACCACAGAGGCACAGGAAGACTCCAAGCCATTTCACAGAGTTATGGAAAGTTGCTTTCCAGTGTGTCAGCACAATGCTCTCCCCAGCCTTGGCTTTTTGCTGCCCCGCAAGGCTGTGGCTGGCAATGAAAGCATATGCAAGGTACAGCCTCAGTCAAGTGGGGACAAGATCTACAGGCCCAGGCCAAGTCAGTTATAATTTGCACTGACAGAAGTGGGGAAAAGCCCCTGCCAAAAACCCACACTTTACCAGAAGCAGCAGCGCGTTACTTTGACCCGACTCTGCAGTGTCTGTATAGATCACGTGCTTCACTGGGGCTTTTTGGTGCTTATCTAAAACCAAGTCCATAAGCTACTAGATACAAACGCCAAAACCCCGCCACTAAAAACGCCCGCTTTATACAGATGTTGGGAAAGCTGGGTCCAACTAACGCGCTGCATTTTCTCGGCGTGTGTTGGGTTTGGCGTGGGCGACAAGTTTAAAGTAAAGCACATTCCTCCCCTCCCCCCACGTGTCTGCAAGCAGGTAGGGTGACCATATGTCCTGGACTGGCTGGGATAGCCCCGAACTTCAAGGGCCAGTCCACTGAAACTTAAAACAAGAATCCTGGGTAAGGAGGCCCAGTGGCAGGAGCTATGAAATAGGAAGTCCTATCAAACAGCAAAATTGTACTAGGAGGTTAGCTTGATTAGTGGAATGACCATTAAAAGTGGGATTGTTAACCCCTGTGAAGAAAAGAATGGGTTATTAATGAGCCACTGACTCCTTACCTGCTCGAACAGTAATACCAGTGGTAGTGGCAGTGTCCCAAGTTTCCCATATGCTCACCCTAGTTAGAACAGGACCTCAGTTCATCAAGCTTCCTTCCCCGCTCATACAGCTACCTGTCCCCTGGCTGCAACTGTGCTGTGTCAGACTTCCCGAGTGACCACAAGCAGGGTGCTTAGTTCATTCCCCCACTGCTATGATGAGGATAAAAGCCAGCAGTGGCAAAGACAAACGCACAGGACTGCACGGCACTTTACTATGGAGTGGGTGGGGTGGGGGGTTCTACAGAAGCATCAGACAGACCGTCACTGTTGCAGAGAGCATCAGACCTAAGGATTCGGGCTGCTGGTAGCTTCATGAAAAACCAGACCAAACTGAGACCCACTGAGACCCAGGGAATAGCTGATCTGCATCTTGCTGCTTCCAACTCCCTCTAGGCCCAGCAACGAGCCACAGATTATGCTCCATGTCACTGGCATCATGCAGCTGTGTCCCCAGAAGCCAACGCCCTCACTAGCCAACCCCCCATTTGCACAGTGATGGATCTGCTAGGCACGGACTGGTCTCCATTCAGGTGAGGAATCTCCCACCTGGTCTCACCTTGGCAGCAGAGGATGCCATCCTTTCGCAGAGCTGTCTTCATCAGCTCGTAGTAGGATTCTTTGAACAAGCTCTCGGCAGGACCTGGGGGCGAAAAGTCAGAGATGACTCAGGGTCCCGACTATCCCTCTGTGTATCCGTGACTGCCCTAGCTGGCTCCTGAACCCCCAGACTGGGCGCTGGGTGAAGCCTCAACCCTACAGAGGACGATCATTTCGGCAGCGCATGGTGGAGTACCAGCCCTCTTCTCAGGGATTGGGGGAGCCTGCTTCAAGGGCTGCAACACTGCGGAGGTGGGGAGGATCCCTCCAATTCTAAAATCGGCGAGTGACTACAGGTGACTATGGGGGTTAGATCACATGATCCGTTCAGGTCCCTTCTGACCCCAAACCAAACTACTATGACACTGAGATCAGCTCCTGGTGCTGGGACACAGCACTCAGAGCAGGAGCCAGGACTGACAGCTGGCTGGAGGTCTCATTCTCGGTCCAGCAAAGGAAATGTTCCGATACTCCATCCCGCACCCCAGGGGCCGAAAGAACAGCTCCAGTGTCTGTATGCACTTGCCCCACTGGGTACGTTCCCTGCCCAAGGAACCAAAGTCAGCGGAAGCCTTGTGCCATCAGGGTGGAAAAGGACAGAGAAGGGCTGCGGCAGAGGAGCACTGCCTTGAGGAGGTGGCACGAGAGGAGATGACAGACAGGCCCGAGGAGGAGGATGGAGAGCCCGTGTGACGGCACCGCGAGTCGTCTGGGGTCTTACCCACAGGGTCGGAGGAGTCTGTGATAATCACATCAAAGGCTTCTTGGTTCTGCTGCATGAACTCAAAGCCATCACCGATGCGCAGGGTCAGCTTTGGGCTGGAGTACCCCACCGCCATGCCCTGGAGGTACTGCTTAGACACCTTAATCACATCCTGCAAGCACAAGCAAAGGCAGCACGTCAGTGAAGCACATGGCCTCTACTCACTCACCACGGAGCCAGTCTCTCCGCGAGCACAGGGCAAAGCCAGAGCTGAGGGATGAGTGAATCATTTCCTTCCACACCCTCAGCTCCAACCCCCGACACAAGGTGCTCGGGAGCAGCCCGTCTCCAGCAGCTAAGGCCAACGCGCACCAGCCAGCCCTTCCCGAGGCCTCTGGGCTCTGCTCCACGCCTGCGGCCTCCGTGCCAAGCCCAGCCAAGGGAATTTAGCGCGATTTCACCCCGAGGAGCTGCGAGGATCAGGTTACAGCCCTGACTGCTCCCCCCCCCGCATGCCATTGGGGAAGGTGGATCTCAGCCCGAGATGCAGGTTTTGAAACGCCCTAGAAAAAAAACAACTGCTGGCACGGCTATGACAGAGCCCCGAGCCCCCCGCGAGCGCACCGCCTCGTGGCTGGGCTGCGGGGAGCACCCGGCTCCCTGGCCTCGGCCCCAAGCGCCGACAGCCCGCGGCTGGCACCGTCCAGCCCGGCAGCCCTCCCCCGGCCCCCGCGGCGCCACGTACCTCGTCGATCTCGCACTGCACCACGGACTCCACGGACGGGAGCTTGACCACCTCGCAC